CAAGGCTTCGACAGTAAGGCTTCCCAATCTTCTACTTGATTGTTTCGGAATGCTCTATATTACCAGCATCGTCTATCACTTGAAATTTAACTACGGCTTTCAAAGTGCATCTATTTTCAATCGAGAAGAGAGAAAGGGAAGTAGAAGTGACTAACCGATCCGGCTTATCTTCCACCTGGTGAATCACCTTAGGTCGTTAAAGATAACAGATCTGGCAATTGAATTACACAAAATCACGGATCCATCAAAGCCTACTTACCTCTTAGCTGAATCATTCACACATCAGAAGACGTGGTACAATTTTGCGTCTAGAGTTTATTTTCAAGAAAATCTTTTATATAATAAAAGGTCAACTGAAGATATATTAAGCGCCGCTAACGCAGAACAGTGTAAATGTCAGGAGGAACATTGTGCCTTCAGCTCAATAAAAAAAAGATAAATTTCTATTGTGGCAGAACACAGATAGGATAGAGAAGTACTGTTTTGGAATGTCACTTGGGTCTTATTTTACATTTTTCTTGCTGTTGATCGGGATTTAATCCTGTTTTGCGGACGTACAAGTCTAGATTTCTTTAGGTGTTTAGAGGAGACGAAAAGCGAAGTTGCTTTTATCATTCCTCTACTTTCGATGAAGCACTCACCTTTTCAAACCAGCTGAAAGTTCCAACGATGTTGTTTCTACATTGACTGCATCCTATGTCTTCAATTTAGATCCTTAGCCTCAGGAGATCAGCTTAGACCTCTCACCTTTGTCCAGAAAGATAAGGAACGGATCTACGAGACAATGAAAGGATCCGGATTGTAGGGCCCGATTCGGATAAGCCCATCGAAAGAGAGGGGTCGGGGTAAATAACAAGTGTGATGATGTCACAATAGGTTGGCCACAAAAGGGCACACATTTTGACGACTGAAATGTAAACAAGTGAGAAGTTGTGATAGGGCGGCAGTGGGATAAGAGGGTAAGAGTAGATAGATAGGCAATGACAGAAAGAGGAGTGATAGTGTAACCGTTTTCGGTAGAACGGTTGTCGAGGGATTGATTTTACTTGTCTCTGACGCGTTCTTAGCTTGGTGCGGAGAATGGCAAAGCTCACTAATGATGCCGACTACGATGCCTGTCAGATGCTGGGAATCATGTCAACTACTATGGCAGACGACTTTGGACTAGGTGCGTTCTACATAGTCTCCCTTATAACAAGACCAAGTTGCGACAACGAGGTCAAGCCACTTTTTGATTTCTTTGGTTGTTTAGAGGAGACCGAAAGCGAAATTGCTTTTATCATTCCTCTCCTTTCGATGAGGCACTCACCTTTTCAAACCAGCTGAAAGTCCCAACGATGTAGTTTCTTCATTGACTGCATCCTATGTCTTCCATTTAGATCCTTAGCCTTAGGAGATCAGCTTAGACCTCTCACATTTTTTTCGCTGAATAAGTGCCCTCGAGTTCGATATCCATCATTCAGAAACTTTGCTTACTTAAGAGCCTTGATAATTTCTCTTATTATTGTTCTAGCACATCTTCCTATTATATCGCTAATGTGATCATTTTTGCTGGACACAAAATGTCAATTCATTCTAGCTGTAGCAATGGTATATATATTTTTTACTTTGATTTAGTATGTTTCATTTTCGTTTTTGCTACATTTTAGCCAGATCCGAGATGCCAGTTCGGTTGAGCTCGAGTCTTCTCAAGCCCAAATAAATACTGAACGTCGTTCCCCTTCAGACTCCACCAGCTTCTATCGGCTAAAAGGAATCACGAGTGCGTTTTCTGGACGCCAAATGGACGTTTTTTCTCGTCTGGCTCAGCTGGAATCGGCACATGACGCCGTTGTAGCTGCAACATCGGAGGAACGCGAGGCGATCAGTCAATCATCCTGGCGGCCAGCACCAATTCTTGTAGCCGAAGATCTTGAGGCCGAGAAGCAAGAGGTTTATTTGCTTTTTATTCTAAATTTTAATTTTCTGTCGCTCATTCACTATTAAACCGATATTCGTAACTATAACTAAAAGTTTTAATTTAGTACATAATTCAAAAATAAATATAGATCTCCATTTAACTACTCATTAGAATAAGTTTGATTTCTCTTTTCATTATTGTGCACTCGCGTTACATAGAATTGTTCTCATCCCATATTTGCACCTTTCTCTCATAGGGACATTGAGAAACATATCCCATACTATTTTCCACTATTGAACGATGTCGGAGGACTCACTACGGGTTTTTGTGAGATCTCTGAAAACACTATTAAGTTGAGAACACATGGTTGCATCAGGTCTTCATGACGAAAGGGAGCCGTGATCAAACCAAAATCCACACCATCCTGGTCTTCATATTTACGGTCTGAATGCTTAATATGACTTCTTTATTCAGTTATAGTCGTAAAGTTAAGTTTAGCAATATGATCTTATCTAGTAATGCAAAGCAGGCCTTACCAGATGGGACTCGTTAGGTTGAGGATTTAAAAAATTAAACAGATATTATTCAAAACAATTATTAACTTGGTCACGTTTACAGGTCTTGTAGAACGTACCGGATTCTTTGTCATGGTAATCATTGCCAAGCTCTGCCTTGGGCTTGCTTAGAACATAGACAGTACGGTGAGCTTGGAACTTATTCTCAATTCCCACTTTTATCTCATTTAATAATTCATGCGAACTCGTATCAAGGCAAGCAGCAGCAATGTCCAGAAGATTTTAGCGCTTAGTAAATTAATGTCATCTAGCCAAATTATTTTATATTAACTGATTTTAAGTGAATAATTTATAGCTGGCTACTTTTTCTCGGTTTAAGCTGAGTAAACTAATTATTCGCGGTTCTGACTATCACTATCAAATTATTGATCAAAGATTGGCACGCTTCCACAGAATTTTAAAGACTATTCATCCGGGATTTCATTAGTAATACTGTTCTGGGAAATTCAAATCACATCAGAATAAAGGCAATTTTATACATTATGACCGTTAACTCTGAATTAAATCACAAAATAAATGTCTGCTTGCCACTGGGTCACTATGGGGCTCATC